TCATTTCTTCCATTTGCTTTAGCATCTCTACGCTGGAGAGCTTTAGCCTGAATTTGCATATGAGCAATTGATGGCCTGTTCCACAGTCTGCCCCTGGCCTTGTTTTGGCTGATGATATGGAACTTTTCCACCGTCTCTTTCCACAGATGTAGTCAATTTGACTTCTGTGTATTCCATCTGATGAGGTTCTTGTGCATAGTCATATTTTATGTTGTTTAAAAAGGTATTTGCAATGAAGAAGTCATTGGTCTTGCAAAATTCTGTCATGCAATTTTCAACATTGTTTCCATAACCAATGTCATACTTTCCAACTACTGATCCTTCCTCTTTGTTTCCAACTTTTGTATTCTAATCACCAGTAATTATCAATATATCTTGCTTGCATATTTAATCAATTTCAGACTGAAGAAGTTGGTAGAATTCTTCAATTTCATCATCATTGGCTTTAATGTTTGGTGCATACATTTGAATAGTTGTGGCATTAACTAGTCTTCTTTGTAGGTATATGAATATTGTTCTATCACAGACAGCATTGTACCTAAAGACAGATCTTGAAATGGTCTTTTTGACGGTTAATGCAAAGCCATTCCTCTTCAATTTGTCATTCTCAGCATAGTAAACCATATGAGTGTCAGATTCAACATGGCCACTACCTGTCCATTTCAGCTCACTGATGCCTAATTTAATGATGTTTATGCGTTCCATTTCTTTTTGACAATTTCCAGTTTTCCTTGATTCATACTTGATGCGTTTCATGTTCTAATATTAATGGATGTTTACAGCTGTTTTTCTTCATTTCCAGTTCAGTGGTTAAGCACTTAGTTTCTAACTAAAAAGGTGGTAGTTAGAATTCAACCAGTGGCTCTGTGGAGAAGGACTTGACCATCTACTCCCATGAAAACTGCAGGCTATGGGCAATGGTACATTGCCACATGGAGTTATGATGAGTCAAAAGTGACTTGAAAGCACACAATAACAGCATTAGCCAACTGCTGTGAGGATCTGGAAAAGATCTGAATCCTCTGGTTGAAGAGAGACACCGTCCGTAACTGAAAAAGGGAACATAAGCTGAAACCTGAATAATAGGAGTCTGTTGCCTAAAGCAGTCACAAAGCAAATCATGCAACAAAGACCAGAGGAAAATGATATATGATCTACTGAGTAACAACAGGTAGACTGCAGACTTCTCCTCGATGCATTAGACACCAGGGAAAGATGGAATCACATTTTTTAAAGGATAGAAAAAAAGCATGGATCAATTATAATGGCTTCCTATAGTGTCCATATAAAAACTGAGCAAGCACATTATCAACAGGCCCTTATGGGGAGGATTATAAAAGGAACTGTGTTAGGAACATGAAATTGGGTGTAAAAATTAATAAGTAGTCTTAGAGTATCAACACTGTAAGTTGGTCAGCTAGTTGATCAACTATCAACACTCATGGAAGCAGCAGTCAAGAAATCAAATGACATATTGCATTAGGCAAATCTGCTGCACAAGATCTTTCTCAAATGTTGAAGAGCAAAGATGTCACCCTGAAGACTAAGGTACACCTGACCCAAGCCATGGTCTTTTCAATAATCTCATAAGCATGTGAAAGCTGGACAGTGAATAAGGAAGACTGTAGAAGAATTGATGCTTTTGAGTTCTGGTGTTGGAGGAGAATATTGAAAGTGCCATGGACTGCCAAAAGAACAAACAGATCTGTGTTGGAAGAAGTGCAGCCAGAGTGCTCCTTGGAGGCCAGAATGGTCAAACTTCGTCTCTCATACTTCGGACATATTCTCAAGAGGGACCAGTCTCTGGAGAAGGATATCATGTTTGGTAAGGTGGAGGGTCAGAGAAAAAGAGGAAGGCCCCCAATGAGATGGATTGGCCAAGTGGCAGCATCAATGGACTCAAGCTGGCAACCATAGTGAGGTTGGCCCAGGATCGGGCAGTGTTTCGTTCTGTTGTGTATAGGGTTGCTATGAGTCCATACCGACTCAATGGCACCTAACAACAGCAACTTAGATATGGTCACAGTGTTGTTCAACACGAGGATGGGATTATTGATAGGACTTTTCAAATGAGGCCAACACATTACATGTTTAATGGGAATCTGTAAAAGAAATTACCATTACATTTAAATTACCACTTGTCTCTCAGTTTCCTGTACTGCGGTGCCTTGTGTGTTGCTGTGATGCTGGAAGCTATGCCACTAGGATTTTAAATATCAGCAGGGTCATTCCTAGTGGATAGTTTCAGCAAAACATCCATACTAAGACAGACTAGGAAGCAGAGGTCAGTCACTTCTGAATGGTTAGCCACTGAAAACCTTTGAAGACTAACAGAACATTGTCAGATCTAGTGTCAGAAGATGAGCCACTCAGGTTGGAATGCACTCAAAATACAATTGAGGAAGCGTTCCCTCCTTTAAATATGACATGAATGTTAAGCTTTTTAGACCTTCATTTGCTGATGAAGCACAACTCAAAATGAGAAGAAACAGCTGAAAGCATCCATTAATAATCAGTGGAATATGCAAAGTATGAATCTAGGAAAATTGAAGTTGACAAAAATGAACTGGGACCCCTAAGATCGATATTCTAGATATTAGTGAATTGAAACGCCATTTTGAATCTGACAGTCATGTGGTTTACTATGCCAAGAATGACAGATTGAAGAGGAATGATGCCATATTCATCGTTAAAAACAATGCTTCTGCCTTCCTGAACTGTGCTCCTGAGGAACCTATACACAGACCAAGGGGCAGTTAGAACAGAACACGGGAGCACTGAATGGTTTAAAATTAGGAAAGGTTGTACTCTTTCACCATACTTTTTCAATCTGGGTGCTGA